GAGCTGAAACACCTATCCCTCTGGGACCAGGGCTCTTCTGCCCAGGGCTAGGGAATCAGTAAGATGACCTTTTCCTATCTTCCCATGAGGGATTGACTGACTGGATGAATCAGAAATGCCTCAACCCTGGATCACCTTTATCACAGATCAGGAGGAGACAGAAGTGACACATGCGGATTTCAGAGGTGAGCAGATCAAAGGTGGCAGAGGCCTGGGAGGAGGGGTTCTCAGTGCTTCTGTCTCTGACAGCAGCTTACAGTATCACCTCAGGCCCTGGTGACCATCTCTGCTATTAGTTCTTGGGTTAAAACAACCCCCACATTGGTAGATGAGGCCAGGGATGTCACCCTTGGAAACCAGAGCTCTTCACATAAGATGGATGAAGCCACTCTAAACCAGGACTTGCAAATGTGTCACTGGTTAAACCAGGTCTCTTATGCCCTATAACACCAGTTCTTAAGAAAATAATAGATATCATATGGAGAAGAAGCACAAGGATGGAATCTGTGCTGGGTTTAAAAAAAAAAAGTTTAACAGGTATCTTTTTGCAGGACTTTCTAGATCCATTAACACTTAGTGCCAGAACAGTGAACTACTCTGTACAGGACCAGGATGGCAGGTCCATGCCATTACACTTTTGTGCAAACCTATGGTATATGTAACACCAAGGGTGAATCCTAATGTAAACTATGGACTTTGGGTGATAATAATGTGTCCAACATAAGTTCATCATTTGTAAGAAATGTACTACTCTGTTGCTAAGCCAGGGGGGCTGTGCATGTGTGGCGACAGGGTATGTGGGAAATCTCGATACCGTCTACTCAATTTTGTCATAAACCTAAGACTGCTCTAAAAAATAAAGTCTATTAAATAAATAAATGGATGGATGTTAAACCACAATCACAACAACAACAAAATACAAAATGCTTTCTATTGTGCCAAAGGGTGATACAAAACTTAATGTTTTTCACACATGTTGGCTGAGAGGTGGGGTTATGCATCATGGGGCTTTTTCTACCTCTGAATATTTCTGAATTTTCTAATAAGCAAATAATATTTTTATAAGTAAGTTTTTTCCTCAAAAATCTAGAAAAAAGGAGGAAGGCTGATTCTAGTATCCAAAACAAAGTTTCAGAACACACACAAAAACTCAGGGTTTTCCAAACCTGTTATAGACCACAGAGCCCTCTTTTTAGCCAAATATGGGAACCAGAGTTTGAGGGAGTGTGATCTAAGAAACACTGAACAAAGTATCTCCCCTTCACCACTAAATAGACTTGAATTTCCCAAATCCAAACAGACTTACAATATTTCCTTAAAAACATAAAGTAGACCAAAATATAGTATGCAGGCTGATCTAGTTCACGGCAGCTGCTCGAGTTGTATTGTCAAAACCAAAGGGAGGTTGTCTGCATGAACTCAGGAGAGCTTGTGCCAATGTCATACTAGCCTAGGCCTGGCATCAGGTATCTAGACCAAGGAAGAGACCGCCAGAGCTCACCAAACATCCTCTCTTTGCTCCTCATTTCCCAGCCTCCTTTGCAGTTCTTTTGGGACTTAGGACGGTGATTTTCAAAGGGTGTGCCATGGCACACTGGTGCACCATGAGAGGATCTTAGGCATGCCTCAAACATTTTTAAAGATCACCAACTAAATTATTTTCAAAAGAAGTTCAAAGCACAGTATGTATATGTGTCAAAATTGAAACCTCCTTAAGTTGATTATATGTATATCATTGTTATAATAAATAAATGTTTTATTGTTATAATAAATAAACACCAGCTTATTTCCAAAGAAGGGTATAACCTTGAAAAATAAGGGCATAGGGCATGTGAGTGGCATTGAGGCATGTCCCTCCAAGGGGGCAGTAAGCAGCCCCTGTGCCACCTCCATCTCTTTTCCCCTGTCTCAATGACCTTGGAGGTCTTATGTCCCGAGTGGCAGGGCTACAAGACAGGAGAGCCTAGGTCCTTGAGACACCCCTTGGGGGAACCATTTGGGACAGCTGCCCTAACCCATCCTGGACTGTGAGGAAGGACTACATCTCTGTCATGCTAAGCTGCTCAGGTTTCAGGGAGGGTCCACTGAAGCTGTCAGTGTTCATTCTATGGATCCAAGCATAGAAGTTTGATGGCAGAAATATCTCTTCATAGCCAGCACTTTTTAAGTTCACGTTCATCAAAATAATCTTCTGATCACTAGTAGACCTTTTCTTCTTCCCTTCTCACTTAAGGTCCTTAAAAGAATAATTTATACCTAGTCATATTAAGAGCCACCATTTATGGAGCACTTTCCATGTGCCAGGCACCGAAGTGAACAATTCTCATACATGACTTCATTCGATTTAATTCTCATGACAACTTTATGAGGTAACTCCCATTTTAGCCCGATTTTACAGGTGAGGAAACTGAGGCTTATGGAACAGAAGTACCTTGCCTGTGTCACAGAGTGGCAGAGTCTTCCTGACTCAGAGTCCATCTGACACCCAAGGGAGCTCTAGGGGATAAAATCTCAGCTCTTAGCTGATGCAAAAGGGCCTCTCTGGATGGCTGCTGCCCATCTCCCCGACTCCAAGTGCCACTGCACCCTCCCTCATGATCTACTGACCCCCCTTCAGCCCTACACTTCACACCACAGCAACAGAAACCTATTTTTACCCTGCTAGCGCCTCACTACAAGGCTGACTTCCCACTCCTGTCCACTTAGTAAATTCCTATCCATCCTCTAACATCTCTCCACACATTGCTTCCATTGTGACCTTCCCTGACCCCCTGAAGGTCCTCACTCTGTGCTGCCTCTGTGACTTCTTTTGCTGCTGATATCTCACCTACTGCAGTTACATTTTGTGTGGATGTGTCTCCCTTGGGGTGTGGACCAGGTTTCTTCATCACTGTATCCCCAGCACCAATACGTGCCAAGCATATGACACCTGCCTAATAAATATTTGTTGGTCTGACTTTCTTCACTGGCCCTCTGAGTATATTCCTGAGACTCGTTATTCTGCCCGTCAGTTCTCCTTTGGGAAATGCACAAACTGGCACGATAGTTTACGAGATGATCGCTCTAAGTTTGGATTTTGTGAATTGCTTTACCAGCAGCTACACACCTTTCAGCGAGCTACTTAAGTCAGGTTTTTGAACCAAAAAATATGGAGGGCAAGCTTTTGTTTCCACTAACATGTATTTATTTATTTTTGTTTTTTAGAGACATAGTCTCACTTTGTCACCCTTGGTAGAGTGCCATAGCATCACAGCTCACAGCAACCTCCAGCTCTTGGGCTTAGGCAATTCTCTTGCCTCCGTCCACTAACATTTATCAAGCACAAACTTTGTTACCAGGAGTTGCATCAGTCATCCTCATGTTGTCCCATTTTAACCTAACAACGTCAGGGAACAGTAGTCTTCCTATTTTGTAGCTAAAGAAATGAAGTTCAAAAAGGTGGAGGGTTTTGCCCATCATCACGAGTTCCTTGCAGAGTCTAAATCTGAATTCAAAGATTTGACTTGAAAGGTAAGACTCTTTCTGGGACCTGTTCAGATGCAACCCGGGAGCCCCAACCTGAATGTGTGCTAGCCTCTCACTTGCTTTTGTATCATGTCCCATCCTGATAGCATCATTGTGGCCTGGAGACCTATGAGAAATCTCTGAGTACATGAGTGTTTTGAAAGCAAGGTAGTATGTTTACCATAGATTGCCCCATACTTAAACACATACACAAACACACTGACACATACACAGACTCATACATGCATATATATGTATATGTGTGTGTATCATACACACCCATACTCAACACAGTAGAAACTTTACTAAGGACCAAGAAAACATGAGTCATTACTTCCAAGAGAAATCTAACTCAGGGGACAGAGAATAGCTATCACTTGACCCTTCTGCTGGCTCTTATTCAGTTTTAAATATTGCCACCAGACAACCGTTGGCTCCTTCTCCCTGCTGATAACCTGAATCATCATAGGGATTGTCCATTCACTGGGCCACTGATATGAGGAAAGCATGACTTGGAAGGTACACCATTGGGGGTGGGGGGAGTGAACACTGAGTGTCACAAGGCCAGTGGAGGTGATGGCGGGATCCTCCAGGCTAGGTAAGGTCTCTTTCAGATCAGAAGACACTTCCAGACCTCTGATGCCCCTGGTTCTTGCTCATTGACCACTCCATGTGCGGAAAAGACATGGTCTGAGATGAGGATTCCCTTAGGGGAGAGAAGCAGCCTGACCTTGCATGTGTTTTATCAGTTTATTATTGATGAGACTCAGGGAGCAGGTGGCTGGGGCCTACTGAAGAACAAGCACTCACAGATTGAGAGCACAAACGCCTCAGTCAATGGGAACAGGTTCAGGGAGACTCTGAGCTACGTACTGTGCGTGGTCATGTGAGATACAGCCTATCTCCAGGTGTTTTGCCTGAGCTGGTGCTGCTCGAGCAGGAGACAGTTCTAACAAGCTGGTGAGCAGACCTGAAGCCTTGTGTAGCCAGGGCATACACAGCCACATAGTTACCAAGCCCATGTGTGGAAAGGGCAATGGGAAGATTCTGGTTGCCCTTAAGAGGGAACCTTCCTGTGTAAGGAGACATGCAGGCTAGAAAGGGTCAAGCCGTCATCAGGAAGGGGAGGCTCAGTTAAGTTGGAGGCTCTGTTTGTAGGGAGGGAGAAAGGCAGGCAAGATGGCACCAGTCTCGAATCCTGGTTCTACTTTTAAAAAGACTGAGGCTGGGGCGGCACCTGTAGCTCAAAGGAGTAGGGTGCCAGCCCCATATGCTGGAGGTGGCGGGTTCAAACCCAGCCCCAGCCAAAAACTGCAAAAATAAAATAAAATAAAATAAAAAGACTGAGGCCAAAGAGCAGGAAGAAGGAAGAAGTGTCAGTGGCAAAGAAAAACAAGGAGATGATGGCACGTGGGGTAATAGAGGAGTCTGGTAGAGAAGGGAGTCCAGTGAAAACCAAGCGAGGCGGATTGCTGAGAAACAGGCTGTCCTCCCCTCTATCTCGTGGTTTTCTTGGTGGGTGAGCTCAGGGCCAAGGTCTTTGCCTGGGTGTCTTTGAATTCACTTGCACTCCCCAACCTGACTTTGGCTTCCCCACGGGGACTGCAGTTTCCACTGCCAGTGACACAGCCCCCAGACAGCAAGCTGTACCCCCCACTGACAGAACTGGGCCAGTAGCCATAGGCGCCGGTGCCACCGAACCCAAAGCCAGCCCCTGCGCCCACTGTGCCGGGTGCTGAGCTGTTGATGACCGCTGTGGAGGAGAGAGGGAGGAGTGGTCAGTGTGTATCCCAGAACAGGGGTGGCCCTAAGTTCCCCTCCAACATCCCAGCCCCAACTAGCATAAATGCCTTCCTCTTAAGCAAATACTTTGCACAAACTTGGGTTTACCCAAGCAGCTTAAGCACCAGGAAAAACAGCCCCCATCCTACAAAGGCCCCAGATCAGGTGCTTGTCACTCTTTGAATGAATAGGAGTGGCAAGAGCTTTCCCCAAGGGGCAAGTGGTGTTCAGGCAGCAGGTAAGCCACCAAGTTCTTGCATTCAACTTTAGAATACATTCCCAAGGCTGTTTTTTCAAAAGAATTTCCTGATTATTTGAACTAGGAGAGTTTTTGAGGGCCCCTCTCTTAGGAGACCGAGCCAAGGCCTGTGGGGCCGGCATTGAGCTGACGGGCACAGCATGTGCATGGCCGTTTCTGTGCACAGTGAGAGACGCCTGCTGAGCTCACAGTTCCTCACTCAGAAAAGCCAGCTGGGGGTAGTGGAAGAGGAAAGGGGGCTGAGAGTTTCATCCCAGCCCCAGACTGCTGGGGGAGGAGAAAGTGTGCAATGCCAGAATGTGAGGGGTGCTGACTCCGCCGGGGAAGTGGCAGCTCCAAATGGGAAGGCCTCGGGTCTTGGCAAGGGAGGTGGCAGAGCCCAGGCTGTACCCTGGGCCCCAGTGATAGGAACTCACTCACTTTGTGACTGTTTTGGTTTGTGTTGTTGTTTGAGATAGACTCTCACTCTGTCACCCTGGGAGAGTGCCCTGGCGTCACAGCTCACAGCAACCTCAAACTCCTGGGCTTAAGTGATCCTCTTGTCTCAGCCTCCTTAGCAAGTAGGACTATAGGTGCCTGCTACTACACCTGGCTAGTTTTTCTATTTTTAGTAGAGATGGGTCTCACTCTTGTTCGGGCTCATCTTAAATTCCTGACCTCAAGCAATCCACTTGCCTCGGCCTCACAGAGTGCTAGGATTACAGGTGTGAGCCACCATGCCCAGCCTGTGGTTGTTGATGGACTAAAAATACTCCCTCAAAGGTGTGGAATACTCACAAATGCTCACGGAGCTGGTGTGTTCTCCAGACATCCTGCACAGAGAGAAAGCACAAGGCATCTTCATCACATGGACTCCCAGAGTCACCCTTACCCCATCTCCACATAGACCCAGAAGGCACTAACTAGGCTGGCTCAGCCTCCACACACCCCTCCAGCTGACCAGATGACATTGACTGCCCCTGCATGTCACTAAGCCCTCCCTCGCCCTCCTTAGTGCGCTCTACCCACGTCAGAGATTGGAGCCTCAGTCTTGGAGCCCCCAATACCGGCACCACCTCCCAGCATTCCTCCCGCTGGGTTTCTCTTGAACCCATTTCTTTACTCCTGTGAAGCTGATGCCCCAATTAGTAGGTAAAAAGACAGGATCCGGAGTTGCTACTAACAACTAACTCTATGGTTTGGGGACCAGTAATTTCTCCTCTCCAAGTCTCAGTTATAAAACGGTGCTAGGTTAGAACAGCGTTTTCCAAATGTCAGCGTTTGGTGTTCCACCCTTCCCACTGCTGCTACGACCATACAACTTATACTGTTATATATTTAATATTTTTAATTGACTCTGCCTTTTAAAACAAAATCACATTTCTCTTAAAAAGAAGTTTCATATCACCTGGGTAAATAGAAAACCAGTATTATTACCTAACCAAATAAGAAAAAAGGTAGCAGAAAAAATAATATAGAAAATAAAACAATTTAAATTTTTTTGGCTTAGATATTGTTGTCTGCCCAAAGACTTTATTTTTTTTTTTTTTTTTGAGACGGAGCCTCAAGCTTTCCCCCTGGGTAGAGTGCCATGGCATCACAGCTCACAGCAACCTCCAACTCCTGGGCTCAAGCGAGTCTCCTGCCTCCGCCTCCCAAGTAGCTGGGACTACAGGCGCCCCGCCACAACGCCTGGCCATTTTTTGGTTGCAGCCGTCATTGTTGTTTGGCGGGCCTGGGCTGGGGATTCGAACCTGCCACCTTAGGTGTATGTGGCTGGCGCCTTAGCCGCTTGAGCCACAGGCGCCAAGCCTGCCCAAAGACTTTAAACCGGAGACCTACCATCTCTTTATCAATATGGATTTATGCAAATGTCTGAGAGTTGCTAAAGACAGAAATTGCTGTCACTTCAGTTGGCTGAATGCTGTTTAAGGTTGTGTTTGTAAAACATCTCCAACCCCTAGCAGCCTGCCCTCACCTTCTGGGAAACTCTGAGTGATAAGATTGCAAAGGGTTTCCCAGCCCCTCCATCTGCCCACCTGCACTCCTCGCCCTCCAGCAGCTTCCTGTAGGTGGCAATCTCGATGTCCAGGGCCAGCTTCACGCTCAGGAGCTCCTGGTACTCCCGCAGCATCCGTGCCAATTCCTCCTTGGCCTGCTGCAAGGCAGCCTCCAGCTCATCCAACTTGGCCCGGGCATCCTTGAGGGCACAGTCCCCCCGCTGCTCAGCGTCGGCAATGGCCGTCTCCAGGTTGGTGCACTGAGGTCAGAAGATTGCAGTTCCCCTGAGTTCTAACGCACCCTGGGCCTCACTTTACCCCACACACACTCTCAGTGATCAGACCCTCCTTACTCCTGCCCATTTCCAAGAGCAGAGACCCAGCCATACCATGACAGTAGAGAACTGTCAACCTGGGACTGAGCCCCAAGGCTTTATGAAAAGACTCCACAGTTATTCCAGACTTTAGCTGGCAGCTCAGTATGTGGGACAGGAGCAGGAGCTCCATCTGAAGAAGGGGCTTCTAAGGTGGAGGCCAGTGAAGGAGGGGGAGCGTGCTGAGCAGTTCACCCCCCCTCCCTCACCTGCTTTTTCACACTCTCGATCTCAGAGCGCAGCCTTTGGATAAGACGCGTCAGTTCTGAGATTTCATTCTTGGTATATTTCAGGTCATCCCCATGCCGACCAGCTGCCAGCTGCAGCTCCTGGAACTGAGGAGAGAATGGCCAAAGCAAGACATTGATTTAGGTGCCGGCTGAGCTCAGCCTGGTGCAGAGACTGTGCATTTGCTTGGGGAGCCTGGCAGAGGTGGTAGAGGTCCCCAGCCTCATCTGGCCTATCGACAGCCTCCTATTCAAACATTGGCTCTTTGGATTTATTTGCCTTAAGCACAGCTAATCTCACTGAAGGTTAGATTTCTAGGACTGTGGAATGCCCCATGCTCTCTGCAGTGCAACTTTAAAACACACAACTCCAATTATGATGCTCCTGTGCCTATAGTCTTTCAAAGTCAAGGTCAAATTCAAACTCCTAGCATGCCAGGTGCTACCCATTACCTAACTGGCTCCCCAGTTGTGCAAAACAGCCCCATGGTTCCCCAAATGTCCCATATGCCCTTGTGTCTCTGAGCCTTTGCATGAGCTTCTCCCTCCACCTGAGAAACCCTTCTCATCCATCCTCCCTTTCCCCCCAGCTAGCCCCAACTGAGCCAGTGCAGGCTCACTTCCTCCAGGAGGCCTTCCCTGACCCCCTTGTTGGGTGTACTTTTGTTCCCATTGCTCCTGACATACCAGTCCCCAGTCTTCCCACACTGTACTGCAATCATACATTTTTATGCCTTTGCCATCAGATTCAGAATGAATGGATGGCAGGAGCTTTTCTTTTATTTCTGAATTCCCAGTACCTAGCACAGTGTGTGGTTCATCCCCAAAACAGGTCTGATGAAAGAATGAAAGGGTGAACAAATGAATGAGGGAGCCAATGAGCTGTCCATCTGCATTTTCTGAGACTCCTCTCCCTGAAGCTTAGTGGGCCCCAGGCTACAGGCCTCTTGCTGGGCTGGGACAGCAGGAGGGCACAGCTGGGAGGAGTATTCTGTGTGAGAGGTGGAGTGTGTCCAGATATACCCCAACACCACCAGCCATGAATTTGGGTCATCTGCTAATTTGGGATTATTCCTGCCTTTGATGGCATCCATGAAATTGTCGACAGAAAGTACTTCAATTCCATCCAGAATTTGGCTCAAGGGGAACGTAAAACATCTGTGACCTTCAGCAGTCTGGGGCAGTGTGCTTCTCGGTCTCCATCCCTGGGTGCTCAGCCCCAGCATGGCTCTTGATTCAGGATTGTTCCTAAAGATGCCCAGTCCCCCCGAAGGCAGAGGGCCTTCTCTCTTTGGTCCCTGCATTTTATCTTTAGTGTTAACCCTGGGACAGGTGTCATTGTCCCACTTCTCTGAAGGCCGTGCAAGCAGGATGATCCCCCACACCAGCTGTGACACCAAACAGCTTCCTTCTGAGTTCTGCTCTCAGCCCACACACAGACTTTGGAGCAAAATGCTTCTTACCAGACTCTCTTCTGACTTTCTGCCTACACACGGTGGAATCTGCAGCCACTAGATTCTGATTGGCTTCATCAGAATCCAATCCTGGCAAAATGCCCTTAACAAGTTACCTGAACTGCCCGAGTCCCGCCTTCTTCATCTTTAGAAGGGGAGTAATTAAAATAAGCCTTCATAATCCTGTTGTTAGGATTCCACAAATAAAATTCAGTTCATGGAGAGTTTACTCCTAACAAGAGAAGGGGAATTATACATAACCTCAAACAGCAAATAGTCCAAAAATCATGTCTGTGCAGACCTGCCTGATTCTTCTGGAAAGTGTTAGTTGGGCGACAGCCTGTGGCAGCCCAGAGTGGTCAGGCTGACAGATGTTTCCCACCCTAGCTTGCAACAGTAGTGTAGAGGGCTTTGGGCATGTGGGATTGAGCCTAAACCTTTATCAAGAAGCCCTGGTCTGTGTAGTCTCCTAAGCCTTGAAAGCCTCCCTCATCCCAGGCCAACCAGGAGGCAGGGGGAAGGACAAGATAAGGTTTCGCAAGATGTGGATTCCCTAGAGAAAGAGCCTGATGAACAGCAAGGAACCACTGGGAAATTGCCTCTTGATGTGAGAAAGGAACTTATCTAAAGAATCACTTCCCACCCACCACCCATTAGAGGAACTAGTTAAGATCTGAGGACTCCAACTTGTCCTTCACCCCTGACTGGACTTGAATGAAATGTAGGCGTTCCCTGACTCCAGATCACACTGAAGAGACCCCTCATTTATTATAATTAACACAGGACTTGAGGTGCTGGCTACTCACGTTTCTCTCCCCAGCTAGACTTAGGCCAAACTCTGCCTCCAGGAGGTTCTTTGTGACAAGCCCACCTAGTCCTGGTTCCCTAATCTGGACTCTGGCCTCAGTTGCATGCATCCTCCCACCACTGCCTTTGGGGGACCTCCAGGACAGAGCTGTGTCTTCTCCTCAGACATGGTCTGGAGTTTTGGCCCCTCCAAATCTTGTGTTGAAATTTGTTCCCAGGTGCCCCAGTGGAGGTGGGGGTGGGGCCAGGTGGGAGGTGTTAGGGGCATGAGGACAGATCCCTCATGAATGGCCTGGTGCCATCCTGTGATAATGAGCTCTCCTTTGTCAGTTCACAGGAGAATGATTGTTTGGAGAGCACGGAGGCCCTGTCCACTCTCTCTTGCTCCTTCTCTGACATACCTGCTTCCCCTTCGTCTTCTGCTTTGACTGGAAGCAGGTGCTGGCACCATGCTCCTTGTACAGTCTGCAGAACCAGGAGCCAAATTTACAAATTACCCAGTCTCTGGTTCCTTTATGGCAAGGTAAAATTGACTAACACTCTCTCCTCCAGGCTTCCCCAGTGCCTGGGACAGTAGTGTGCTCCTAGTAATCTGTGAGGCATCACAGCAGATAATGAGGCAGCCAAAACAGAGACTGGAACAGAGGCCCCTGCACATGTGACTGGGGAGGCGCACGGCCCACCTTGGTCTGGTATAGTGCCTCAGCCTCGGCCTTGCTCTTCAAGGCAATCTCCTCGTACTGGGCTCGGACCTCGGCGATGATGCTGTCCAGGTCCAGATTCCGGTTGTTGTCCATGGACAGGATGACAGACATGTCACTGATGTGGGACTGGATCTGAGCAATCTCCTGCAAGGGATACAAGGAGGAGGATGCCAAGGTGATGACCTTGTCCTGGTGGGATAGCCCCAGACCATCTCAAACAGATGTAAGCTGCATTCTCCAAAGCCCATAGCATGGCACTCGCCAGAGATTTCAATACCACACCTAAAAACTGCTGAATGGGTTTGAAGCAGCCAAAAAAGAAAACAGCCCATATGCCTGTGACCTGAGATAGGACAGGAGTAAGGAAAATGAAGAGGAACAGCCTGGCCACCACGCAAGGGACACTGAGGACACGAGAGCCCGTGGATGCTTGGCCAATAGACAGAAGCTTAAATCAAGATGTGCATAAGGAGGTAGAAAGGGCATGGGAGTCCTCGCCTCCGCCCTGGGACTCTGGCCCCAGATCCCAGGAAACACCCCGAGCAGCGGAGAGGAGACCAGCAGGAATGAGAAAGCGCATGGCTGAAGTTCTGTGGGAAACCATTCAGGTCCTCTGGCTTCCTGAAGGATGTGACAGCAGGGTATTGTAGGGTCAGCAGGGACAGGTGGGGCATCAGGATAGATTGTCACTCCTGGCTTTGATCCACAAAGCCTCCTGCACCCAAATGCTAGAGGTCCCTGGGCTCCTGTCTGCTGGCTGTCCCTACTAAAAGTTTCTGATAAATAGTAACTGCTAATCACACATCTATCTGTCCCTCCAGAATGCAGAGCTGGAGCTGGGGTGGGGAGGCTTACCCCCTCATACAGGCACTTGAAGAACTTGATTTCTCCGTCCAGAGCGTCCACCTTGGCCTGCAGCTCCACCTTGCTCATGTAAGCCGCATCCACGTCCTGAGGAGAATCCAGAGATTCCCTGCCGTCACCTTCCTTCAAGCCCAGGAGGGCCTCTCCTAGGACCTGACACCCTGGTCCCCAGCCCTGTGGCCAGCTGCCCCAGGGAATGGACTTACGACCCAGCAGGCAGGAACCTGACTTCCAGTTGGACTCACTGTCCAGACTCCCGGCGAGACATGGGTGAGCTCTCATGCCTCTGGAACTCCTTCTGCCTCTATTTCTCAAAGTGGGGGAGCCCTGTCTCCTACTCAGCCAGCCATTCAGCAGTTGTAACAACCCCAGGGCAGCCACGGTGATTTGCCAGACATGAGTAGAGTCGGAAGGGAAACCTACAACTGCCCAAAGCATGTCCTGCTCCGAGACAAAATGACGCAACCTAGGGACTGACTATCCAGTCTGGGCTCCTGTCTGCTGGATGTCCCTGCAAAGGAGCTGACCAAGCACCATGTGCTAGACCAACACCCAGGTGTCCCCGGATGTCCAGAGCAGCAAGCCCTGCGCCGCCTCCTTCTGCACTTCAGCTCTAGGCTTCCAGGGGGTGCAGACCTCAGTCCTTCCCCACTCCTCTGATCCCCCCACCGCTGGGTGCAGGGCACTGGGTACAGGGCGCTGGGCACATGCGTTCTCCTCACCTTCTTAAGCACCACAAATTCATTCTCAGCAGCTGTGCGCTTGTTTATTTCCTCTTCATATCTGCAAAGCAGGCACACGGTAAGCAGAGTGTGTGTGTCTACAGTGTGACTCTGCGTGTGTTCTCATTGTGAAAGGAGAGAAGAGATGCTCCTGTTGTGTGCCTTTTAACAGGCATTATTCCACATCTGTTCAGGTCTGTCCCAACTCACTAGGACGATTTGGTCCAAAGTGGTGGATAGCGTTTGAAGCAACCCTCTCCCAAGCGGATGGTCTGGGGTCTGATTGCCTCTGCTGCCTGGGGAGTGAGTAGGTTCTTCCCCTTCCCACTCAGCATCCAAATCATAGGAGCAGGCCAGAGGCTCTTTTCAGCCAGAACCCTTGGACCCGCACTGCTGCCTGACGCCCCTGTCCACAATTCCCCTCCATCCTGAGGTGGGAGTTCCAAGGAAGCCATAACTTTCCCCAGGGCAAGCAGGAGGACCATGGCCTGAATGTCCAGACCTGAGGGAAGCGAGAGAAATAGCCTGCCAGGAACTCTGGCCCCTGCCCTGCTGGGAAGCACAGTGGGTGCACTCAGGGACCACAAGGCTCAGGTACACACACAGACACTCTCGAGTGGGGAAAAGGAGTGTGCCTAGGAGGGGGCCACCTGCCAGGACAGCCTCGACACTGCCCAAGAGGCTGGCTGTCCACTGTCCAGCCCACCTGGTCTACCATATAAGTCTCTTGTCTTGCCTGGGCAGGTGAGATCATCCCCCTGAGGCCAAGAGTAAATGTGTTCCCATCCCTACTGGGAAAGCCCAGAACCAGGAGGCGGGCCAACTGGCACAGCGTCCCTCTTCCTGCTCACCTTTTCCTGTAGTCCTCCACCACATCTCGCACACTCCTCAGCTCAGAGTCCAGCCTCACCCTGTCCCCCGACAGCGTCTCCAGCTGCTTCCGCAAGTTGCTGATATAGCCCTCGAGAATGGGCTCCAGGTTGTTCCTGCAGTTGTTCTGGTCCAGCTGCTGCAGCAGCTCCCACTTGGTCTCCAGCACCTGGTTCTGCTGCTCCAGGAAGCGCACCTGGAACCCAATGGACAGACACCTGGAACCCAATGAACAGACACCTGGAACCTAATGGACAGACACCTGGAGTCCAATGGACAGACACCTGGAACCCAAATGGACAGACACCTGGAACCCAATGGACAGACACCTGGAGTCCAATGGACAGACACCTGGAACCCAAATGGACAGACACCTGGAAGCCAATGGACAGACACCTGGAACCCAATGGACAGATACCTGGAACCCAATGGACAGATACCTGGAACCCAATGGACAGATACCTAGAACCTAATGGACAGACACCTGGAACCCAATGGACAGACACCTGGAACCCACGCCCCAGACAGTCAGTGGGGGGAGAGGACATGAGGTTTCCTCTCCTGCACAGGAACTGTGTTTTCTTCTACGGCCTTAGTTTAAAAGGTGAATGAGCCTTGGCCCTTATCTCCCTCTGTCAGAGCTCTGTCTTCCTTGCCCTGATTCAAATCTATCTGGACCAGTGTCTGTGTTCAGCCTGGGCTGCCTCTTCAAGGTGCATCCTCAGATGCCTGTGCTGGCCTATGGTGGCCTTCACATTCCTAGGCCCTCTCTTCAGGGCCTGGCGGGCTGCCTGTGCCCAGCCTACTCACTGCTTCCTAAGGCATAGGCTCTCCTAGCCTAGCCGGAGGTGGGTGCTAGGCTGATCTGGGGTCTCAAGGCCTCCTAAGTTGCTGTCACGTCTGCATCTATTATCACATTTAGAGCATCTCCCAAGGAGCAGAACAAGCATTCTCAAGTTGCAATCTACAAATATTATTTCATTCCCTTGCTTAAAACCCTCAGATGATTCCACATCACCTACAGGGTCAAGTTCATGTTCCTACTGTGCTCTTCAGAACATGCCCAGCCCTCCTGCCCCTCCTCCACTCACCAACACTCCCAGCAACCCGCGGTCTCCTGTGCCCCTCACAAGTCACAACACACAGCACGTGCTCTGTCTCCCTGGATTGACTTTTTCCCACCTCCATCCGGAAAACTTCTGCCTCACTGGAGTGTCACCACCTGCCTCACTGTCACTCCTGGTAAGCTTCCCCAGCTCCTCTAATCTCAGGAAGTCTCTACTTTCCAAGACCGTCTTGCCCTTTCACTCCTCAGTGGCCCCAAACTTGAGCATCACCTGGAGTGCTTGTTAAGTCCACACTCCAGGCCCCACCTTGGTTGCTGTTTCTGTCACTCTGGAGCAGAGCCTGAGAACGTGCTTTCTAACAGGTGTCCAGGTGATGCTGCTGTTCTGGGTCGGGGGCCACTTCTGAAAACTGCTGCTGTCGTGCACAGGGACTGCCACCTGCCTTGCCTTATAGCATTGTGTTTCAACCTTTTTTATCTCCTGGCACACTTGAGCCTATAGTTAAATTATGTTGATCGAAAAACAGAGTAAAAAAGAATATACTTACTGTGCTTTGAACTTCTTCCAAAAATAATTTAATTAATGACCTTCAAAATTTTTCACAGCACACCTCATATCTTCTGATAGCACAACAGTGTGCCACAGCACACGGGTTGAAAATCACTGCTTTATATGGCAGGTGGATTATAGACTGGATCTAAGCAGGCAGGGCCCATGAGAAGAGGAGCTGGGTCCCACAGCTGTCTAGACACCCCCCACTGTCACAGGCCTTTCCTTTACCTGGCCTCAAAGTCTCACAGGCCATCACCCTCCTACTTCTCAACCCAGGGGCCACTTTCTGTGTTGCCTGGACTCCTTCCCACATGAAGCTCTCCTGCCCTTCTCACTTGTCTAAACCCTATCCCCCAGGTCTGATGTCCAGGGCTTTGTCCATTTCCTCCCTGTTCTGTCCTGGGCCGGGTCTGCATCCTGGGTGTGTGTGCTGCCTTCCTTTGCTCCCGACAGGGCCCTGTGCTTGGCTTCCTCTAAAAAGTCCCACCTTGTCGATGAAGGAGGCAAACTTGTTGTTCAGAGCCTTGATCTGCTCCCGCTCCTGGGTACGCACTTTCTGGATCTCAGGGTCCAGCTCCACGTTGAGGGGGGCCAAGAGGCTCTTGTTGACAGTGACCTGATGGATGCCTCCAGGTGGACACAAGGATGGACAGGCAGGCCTCAAGGTCACACTGCCAAACATGCTGCCAGGAAAGCCACTGGCCCGGCCCCAGCCAAATCCATAGCCCCCTGCCCGCCCACTGCCACTGGCCACGTTGAAAGAGAAGCTCCGGGAGCCCCCCAGGCTGTAGAGGCTCCGACTGCTGAAGCCCCTGCTGAGCCCTTTGCCTCCTGCCCGGTAGGAGGATGAGCTGCCTGCAGACAGCACTGCTGAGCAGCCACTGAAGCCTCCCTTGGTGGCAGCTCCCGACTTGCAGGTGAATTGGCGGCTCATTTTGGGGAGCCCAGAGAGCTGGGGCAAGATGCTAACGTTTAGCTGAGTTGCAGGTCACCAGCCTATAAAGGTGGGCTCCCCCTTTATAGGGTTCAGCAGGGAGCCACTGCCCTAATTTGTGGGTTCAGTTTGCCTGGAGGCAAGAAAACATTTTCTCCCAGCAAAATCAGACACCAGGTAAATAACTTGAAAACTCCTAAAGTGCCGGCTTACAAGTCCTACTCATGTAATTTGAGTCTTATCTAATTAGCACAGGTAATTAGCCTGTCCGAATTATCCCTAGAAAGATCTTGTCTGAGAGGTTTGTCACAGCCTCAATTGCCCTTATGCAGGGACTGGTGGGAGCTGGGATGGAAGGGGTGCAGAGGGGAGACCTCTAATTGATGGCGTCATGTGTGAGAAATCTCACAATCATGCTGGGATCAGATGAGCTGTTTCAGAGACCCTGGTTGAGCTACTTTTATGTGGTTAAGCAGAGACTCCAGTGGCCTGGCTTCCCAGGGCTCCAGGAGACAGTTCTCATGACTAGCCAGCACCAGAGGAACCCACTGGAAACCCAGAGCCAGCCTCTGCTGTGCCCTTCCAGATGGGTCCCCTTCTCTGTGCCAGCCAGACTGTCATGCTCACCTTCACCTATACACACTGACTCCTTTGTTCCTAGACCATCCCGCTACCCCGACTCTTGTGAAGTAATGGTCATTGTCACTGTTTACAATGGCTGATACTGGAGCAGCACTTTACAGGGTTGAAAGAGTGCCTCCCAGAACCTCAGTCTGCTTGGAGAGGAGATGATCCACATTTCACTAATGGGGAAACCAAGGCCTGGATAGTTGAGAACACCAACTGCAGAGAGCACTACAGACATTTAATGAGTCCTTTCTTTGTGTGAACCCAGAGCACAAAAATTTCCTGAGAAACACATGCCCCCGCCTCTAGAAGGACTCCCTGGGCTGGTCTTCTGATTCTGCTTCCAGAGTTATGCCTGCCTTATTCTTTTGTCCGGCCAGCCAGCCATCTACTCACTCATTCAAACTTCTGCTGAAGGCTGACCCTGTCCCAGGTACTGTGCTAGGCTCTTGATCCTGAACTAATGAGAACAAACCCAGCTCAAAATTGGGGTGAAGGGGGCAGGCACTTGAATTCCATAGACCCTTGACATTGCCAAAGTATATGACTCAATACCTCACAATTCCCAAATGCCAAATAAGGGTTCACGTGGCACTGAATTTCCCTTGATGAGAGTAATGGATATATTTGGCATTTGAACTCTTATGTAATCTTTACCCCATTACCAAGTCAGATCTGTGCTCTAGCGAGCAAGCCCACCTTGACCCTTGCCCAGACCTCTAGGGCAAGAGTTCCTAACAGTTACAGCACAAAGGAAATTAATCTCTCAGCACCTTCAGAGGAAATCAAATCATGTTGTGAAAGAATATTTGTAGTTTCACACCCAGGAATATGGGGTAGACATACTGTTCACCTCTTCACAAACATAAGAAGATTCTGAAAGGTAGAGAGAAGAAGGTACATTAATGGAGGCCTCAGAAACCAAGGAAAGGCAAGGTGGCAAGTTCTCTGGCTTTTCTATTTGTGTCCTATATATACATATAAACCAGACTCGGAGCAGAAGAAGGTAATAACCTGGAAGGGCACAGTCACAGAAAGCTTTGCATCTGACCCCATTCTCTACCAGCCAGTTGCTGTGGCTCTGGACACGAAAGCACCTGAGATTCGAACTGGGCTCATCAAGGGCAGCAGCACCGCAGAGGTAGAGCTGAAGAAAGGAGCCACTCTCAAGATCACGTTGGACAATGCCTACATGGAGAAGTGTGACGAGAACATCTTGTGGCTGGACTACAAGAACATCTGTAAAGTGGTGGAGGTGGGCAGCAAGATCCATGTGGATGATGGACTGATTTCCCTGCTGGTGAAGCAGAAAGGTGGTGACTTCCTGGTGACAGAGGTGGAAAATGGCAGCAGCAAGAAGGGTGTAAACATTCTCAGGGCTGCTGTGGACCTGCCTGCTGTATCAGAAAAGGATATCCAGGACCTGAAGTTTGGGGTAGAGCAGGATATAGATATGTTTGCATCTTTCATCCACAAGGTGTCTGATGTCCATGATGTCAGGAAGGTCCTGGGAGAGAAAGGAAAGAACATCAAGATAATCAGCAAAATCGAGAATCTTGAGGGAGTTCGGAGGTTTGATGAGATCCTGGAGGCCAGTGATGGTATCATGGTGGCTCGTGGTGACCTAGGCATTGAGATTCCTGCAGAGAAGGTCTTTCTTGCTCAGAAGATGATAATTGGGCGGTGCAACCGAGCTGAGATGCCTGTCATCTGTGCCATGCAGCTGCTGGAGAGCATGATCAAGAAGCCTCACCCCACCTGCTTAGAGGGCAGCAATGTGGCCAATGCAGTCCTGGACGGAGCTGACTGCATCATGCTGTCTAGAGAAACAGCCAAAGGGGACTACCCTCTGGAAGCTGTTCACATGCAGCTCCTGATTGCCCCTGAGGCAGAGGCTGCCATCTACCACTTGCAATTATTTGAGGAACTCCACTGCCTGGCGCCCATTACCAGCAACCCCACAGAAGCTGCTGCCATAGGCACCATGGAGGCCCCCTTCAATTGCTGCAGTGGGGGCCATAATAGTCCTCACAAAGTCTGGCAGGTCAGCTCACCAGGTGGTCAGATACTGCCCACGTGCCCCCATCATTTCTATGACACGGAATCCCTAGACAGCTTGCCAGGCCCACCTATACCATGGCATATTCCTGTCTTATGCAAGGACCCAGTCCAGGAAGCCTGGGCTGAAGATGTGGACCTCTGGGTGAACTTGGCCATGGATGTTGGAAAGGCCCGAGGCTTCTTCAAGTCAGGAGATGTAGTCATTGTGCTGACTGGGTGGCGCCCTGGCTCTAGCTTCACCAACACCATGTGTGTAGTGCCTGGGCCGTGATGGACCCCAGGAGCCCCTCTTTCAGCCCCTCTACTAGTCCCTTCCCCAGACCCATCCATTAGGCCAGCAACGCTTGTAGAGCTCACTCTGGGCTATAGTGTGGCACTGGTGGGCTGGAACACCAGGGAGAAGATAATGCCGCTGTGAAACAAGGCTGTTTGTAGACCCTGCTCGGGTGGGGTAGCCCTGAGCCTGGCTTGCCCATCATTTGGCCCCACCCAAGCAAGGAACAAAGGAGGAATACAAGACTGGAAGCCCCAGAGCCTATGGCAAGAGGGCAACAGCTCCCTCTCCCTTGTGTTCTTGGTTTCTCCTTTCTGCAGAAAATGGATGCCCAGAGAACTCCCAGCCCTGGCCTGGGATCAGGAGACAGCCAGTAAGAGTAGGGGCCTTAGGGCATGGGGCAGTGATTCCAGTTGAAGCAGTCTCTGGCCCTTACGTGCTTCCCTAGATCCATGGCCTCCCCTACTCCCACCTTGTGCGCTGTGCTCTTCTGTCCTGCGCTCTGCTCACCTTTTGCTATAGACAAAATTCCACCCTCACTTTCTTCCTCACTTTTCCCTTCTACTGCAGCTGCCTCTGGGTGTGTTGCTATAGAGCCTACCTGTATGTCCATAAACAACAGCTGAAGAAAAAAAAACCAGGAAAGCCAAATTATCAGAATCTGTGCTTGAACAAAGAAAGGGCAAATTAGCTATATTTCTTCTGGTTTCACTTACTGAGTTCTTTGATTATTAAGAGTAATGGGCTCGGCGCCTGTGGCTCAAGCAGCTAAGGCACCAGCCACATACACCTAAGGTGGCAGGTTTGAATCCAGCCCGGACCCACCAAACAACAATAATGGCTGCAACCAAAAAATGGCCGGGCATTGTGGCAGGCACCTGTGGTCCCAGCTACTTGGGAAGCGGAGGCAGGTGACTCTCTTGAGCCCAGGAGTTGGAGGTTGCTGTGAGCAGTGAAGCCATAGCACTCTACCCAGGGAGACAGCTTGAGGCTCTGTCTCAAAAAAAAAAAAAAA